GAGCTGGGTTTCGAGGAGTCCCTTAGAAACATAAACATAAGTGGATTGATGTTACAGATGCTGTAATATGTGTATGTCTGGGTGACTCGCTGAAGGCAGTGGGCATTTCTACCTACAGTTTCAGGAGAAGTAGGTCGTGCTTGAGCTGACACTTAAAAACAAATAGGTATCCACCAGGTGGAACATGACTCCCTAGGGGAGGAACAGTGAGAGAAATCTCTTGCAAAGCCAAGTATTTAGGGAGTTCAGAGTGGGTTAGCACAACAAGCCTGGAAGGGCTCAACCTCACGGAGAGGTGAGGGTCTTCCATGCCATGCCAAGGAGCTAAAAGTGTTCTTTTAAAAGGGGTCCCCAGAATAGTTTTTATGCCTCATTATGAAATTTTGAGCTAATCTGGACTATTTTCATTCATTTGGCCTGTGAAAGCCAGAGTTAAAAATGAGGAGATAGGATAAGAGAAGTGATCATCATCTTTCCCCTGGAATATTTCTAAGCAATTCTTTTGCCTGTGACCTACTCATCAGTTAAGTTTTAGTGATGCCCAGTGGACAGCATGATTGCGAGTTTACCTGGTGCTTGAAACTCAGTCCTTTTCCATCTCTGTCTCTAACTCACTGGGCTACCCGGCTGCATTTAACCATTAGGTAAATATCTCTGAGCCTTGATTTCTTGCTGTGAAATGTAGATAATTATACTTATATTCACTGGCCTCATGGGACTTCTCCTTAATATTTATAGCTCAAAATACTTTGCAGTCATTTTTATTAATAGTTACCAGATGTGTCGTAAGGATTAATGAGCTTATGATCTGAAATGTTTTGAGCTCCTGAAATAGGAGGCAACTGCCTGCACAGGGGATATGCAAAATAGCATTAAAATGCAAACAATACACATTTGGAAATTTGAGCTGTTATGTGTGAAGGACAAATGGCACACTTTAGATTTCAGTATACTTTGTAGGTATTTTTGGTGCCCTTAATAAGGTTGCTGAATTAATCACAGGCCATTTCCAAAAATAGAAAGCTAAGTACCGCCCACCCCTGCATGCGTGCGCACACACACACGCACAACAAGCCAGGAAGAGCTTAGAAACTAATTTCTAATTTCTGCTAATTTCACTGTCACCAACTTCCTGTGCATCATCTTTGACTGTTTCCTCCACCTTTAGCCAACTGTTTTCAAGTATTCAGCAGTCTCCTTTATATATCCAAATTTTTATTTCTATTTTCTTTTTCCTCTTACTATCCAAATTCAGGCTCTCTCTTTAGCTCTCCACCAAACCATTAAAGCAACTTCATAGTTGATTTCCCCACATTTCGTATCTCCCCTATTTAAGGATTCATCTTCCGTAGGCATAGCTCTTACGACCACCTCATTCAGGAACCTTTGGTTACTGTTTCTTGCCTGTGAAAATCAACCATGTGCTCGCAAGGCCTCTCCACATGGCCCCTACCTTCCTTCCCTCTGCTCAGTGCTGGCCAGTCTAGATCCTTCTTTCTTCCCCTAAGACCGGGACGACGAGTAGCTTTTCCCAGGGCAGAGATGTGAGTAGAGGGGACACATCAGACACAAGGTGGCTCTTTTCCATCCTGACCTGGTCACGCCATCTTCGTGTCCCTACCCTGGGAAATGGCACTCAGTGTTCAAGGCCTGCCTCAGAGTAAAATCAGCCTTGCGAAGGTGTGCTAGGCCGGTTCCGTGTATGAACCCTTGCTTTCAAAAAGTCAGTTCTAATATCTGTCCTGTTTCTTGACATGTTAACTTGCATACACGTCCTTCCCACAAATGAGCCTGCCAGTCTGTGGAGAGCAAAGCCCGTGCCTTTCTGATCTCTGTGTTCTCCACGGTGTCATAGCAACTAACGCCTGTCACGGTGGGACCTGCCAAGTCCTTGTTGAACTGAAGTTTACAGCAACTCACAGCCCGTTACCTTCTTCATGTAGGGCGGTGTGATGGGGAAATTTGAAATGTACAGAGTAGAGCGGGTCCTGTGCTGAATCTCTATATACTTGTCACCCAGCTTCGATAAAAACAAGCACGTGGCCAGTCTCGTGTGTCCGTACCCCTCTCTCATGAGCATGGCCCGTCAGACATCCTCTGGTTGAAGAAGACTCTCCTGTGACCCCGCTTGTCCAGAGCTGGAATCTGGCAGCCACCACTGCCTAGCAGCCCTTGGAGGGAGGCACCCCAAGTTGCTGGTGCATGGACAGGAGGAGTGGGTATAGTTCCTGTGTTGTCATAATGCTCCCGACCCACTCAGACCTGATCTGACCTTGGTTTTGACATTGTTTTTAGCCGTTTCAGTCATTCTTGTTCTGGTTCACATTTTATCTGAATGGGGGTGGCTGGCATCTTTATGAAACATGCTGCCTGATTAGGAAGTGGCCACTGAGCGTGAGTGACAGCGACAGGAAACCCGTGAGGGCAGATGTGAGGCTCTCAGCCTCGCAGCCTGGAGCCCTGGAGGCAGGGCACCGGGAGCCCCGGTGGTCCTCCGGGTCCCTGCATCGTGTCAGAGCCCATCTGGTCCTGTAATTCATTTCAGCTAATATTTTTTAAGCGTTTACTGGAATTTTGTAATTACTCTGAGCCATAAAGAAAAGTGTAAATTATGTTTCTATGTTTCATTTAGGAGGGCAGGAGTTACATCATCTTAGAAGAGGTTTCGTCCCAGTGCTTACAGTTCCATCATTGGTAGCATTTTTATACATTAAGGGGGAATGTTTCATCCCAATCTCATCTGTTTTAAATAAGATCTAACTAAAGGATGAAAGTATTTTGGAGTTCAAAGTTAAGAAATGTTTTCTCTACGTTTACTAAGGAATACGCTCTGAACACCTTTCCACTTGTGGGAGACGAGATAACATGCGAACCGTGGGCCTAAAGAGAGCGGCCCCGGCAGCGGAGGGCTGTGTGGAGAGGGGAGGTGCTTCTTGGACACACTCCATGGGCAAGTTGCTGACAGCAGAGTAGGGACGGAGAGCTCCTGTGAGGATGGACAGGAGGGGCTTTGGGAGAGGGAAGGGTTATGTGCCCTGGGAGTTGAGGGAGAGGCTGGAGGCCCTCCTTGTGCAGTTGCTGCCACCAGGGCATCCTCCCTCGTCTGTCCCGTTGCCACCCCCAGGGTCTTTCTTACACACAGCTCTGACTCTGGTCCCTGGCCTGCAGACCAGGAGCTCCCGTGTCTGTGGGTGAAGTGTGTTTTCTTCAGCTTGTCCCTGGGTCCTTCCATCTGCTGAGCCTTGTCTCCTGCCAGTTCCCACTCCGTCTCCTCTCCTCTGTGCCTCTTCTCAAATCTTACCTGCAGCAGAATGGCTCCCTCTAGCACTTTTCTCCCCAACCAGCCCCAAGGCCCAAGGCCTACTTAGTATCCTTTGCAGGAAGCCGTGACTTGGTGCTGTGAGCTCAGGTCACCCCCACCCTCACTGAGCCATTTTGTCCCAAGAGGTTGGCCTGCCCGGTAGGAAGCAAGACTTTGGCCGCCCAGCTTTAGTGTCCTCAGACTCTGTCCAGGGAGTCTCCACGGCATAGGAGCCTCAGACACCCAGAGACACCACAGGAGGACCCGAGTGCTCAGGGCGAGAAGGGAGATGGAAGGACATGGAATCAGTGATGTGGAGTCAGTTTAGGTCAGTGACCGTCTGCTTTAGAGGTTGGCCTGCCCGGTAGGAAGCAAGACTTTGGCTGCCCAGCTTTAGTGTCCTCAGACTCTGTCCAGGGAGTCTCCGTGGCATAGGAGCCTCAGACACCCAGAGACACCACGGGGAGGACTCGAGTGCTCAGGGTGAGAAGGGAGATGGAAGGATATGGAATCAGTGATTTGGAGTCAGTTTAGTCAGTGACCGTCTGCTTTTCTTCTGGACACTCACACTGCACGCGCATGAACTTCAACTTTCTCTTCTCATGTGAGGGAGGACTAGGAGCCCGAGTTTGTTCTGCCAGGATGGGGCCCTCTTGGGACTGGGCATTCGAGGTCCCAGCTCCTGCATCGGAGCAGGGGGACCTGGGAGGGGAGCGGCTTTGTTGAGGGAAGAAGGCAGAAGCGGTGGATTCCTGGTTCTTGGAGACAGTCACATCCCCTGCAGTCCCACTGCCCTTGTCAACCAGCCACTACTAAGTGAGTTTCTGACTCCGTCTCCTTCCTCTGACACCCCCTTTCCTTGTCCTGGTGCGAGTTATGTCTTCATTCTTTTCCTTTAATGCTACTTGAATGGCGTGTCCACAGGTACTGAAGTCCTTTCTTGTGATGTTGCTTGCACCTCTTATTCAGGCCCCTGTCACTCACACCTGCTCTGTTGCTGGAGTCTCATTAGGGATTTGCCTACATTGGTCTTTAAATATTTCTCCAGCCAGTTTGCCTTCCACCACCAGATCCTTGTCCTCAACCTCCGCGCTCTCAGGCACCGTAGCAGCCCTACCAGTTACCCAATGAGGTTAGTTTCATACCGAAGCCGCTCTCCCTCTACCTCTCCTGCTCTGTCTATGCCCAGAGCTGTGCTCCCACCTGGCTTCCCTGCGCCTCACATCCTGTGGCTACTCACCAGCTTCCTTTTACTCCGTGAGTTTCCTAGGCCACCGAGGCTTGGTTTGAGTGCCACCTCCTGCCTGCAGCCTCTCCTAAAGTCACTTTATTAACATAAACTCCTGGTCTTTCCTGTCCCAGTAACTTCTCTCCAGAGTCCTGAGACGCGTGTGTGTACAGACACAGCCCGTGTGTAAGGACGGGAGGGGAGCCGAGTGTGAGCCATCACCTGCATTACTGGTTTCAGCCTCTGTCTTGTGTTGCTAGATGGGGGAAGGGGGGAGCTGCTGGTTCTGCTCCTTATGTCTTCCATGTCTGTGGATAGTGTGGTGCCCCTAGCACTAGGCAGGCTTGTTGGCCATGACTTGTTAGAATTCCTGAAAGTTGTCTGGCTCTGCCATCTGTTCAGTTGAAACGCTCTCTGGCTATCTGTTCTGCTCTTGATCTCTCATGCCCGCCTGTCCACTTGTTTCCTCAGCCGGTGCCCCGCATCATGGTGCAGCCTGCCCTCCCGGACCCCAGGACGACCAGGGTGGCGGAGGTGAGTCAGCTGGGCGGGGCGTGGGGGCGGGGGTGTCGCCTGGCTGGTGGGTGGCCCGATGCTGTGAGCGTTGAGTCCACACCATGGTTGTTTTATTCTAGCATTCCCATTTTGATCATTAACCACAATATAGGCCACTGTCTTCTCCCTCTCTATTTTCCTGTTACACTTGCTATTTCCAACTTGTTAATCATATGATTGCTAAACTTTGAGGTGCTTAGCTGCTGCTGTCGTCTGCTGCTTTAATAGCCCACCGCCAGGCTCAGGCGAGTTCTATAAACAGAGCAACCTCCTTATTCTAAGTGTGTGCTTAATTCTCAGTTTTGCATTTCATTCTGATCCGTGTATCAGCGTGAAAAGACGAATGCTAAGCTGGGAGGGAGCGGCCTCTTATGATCTCCCGCAGATGAACAGCACTTCTCGCCTTATGAATAGCAAGTCTATTTTCTCCCACTGTGCGCTCACTCTCAGGAAATGCCATCTCTTCATAGGAAAATTTTATTTATTAAAACAACAGCAAAAGCCAAATAATTGGAAAGGAAATTCAGACCTCAGAATCCACTCCTTTCTAAAAGGCCCCTTCCAGTCAGTGCCCTTAGCATTCACGAGTTTAACTACAGATACACCACGGTCCCTCCCGTGGATAATGCTTGTCATGCCGAGAGGCCAATGGGACCGAGTGGGAACGAGTCCCCTGCTGGCGGGGCACCGGGTGTGGCACTGCCTCTGCCGCTCCTCATGGTGTTTCCCAAGCCGAGGCTTTAGTGGTGGTCCCCAGAAATGTCACTGGTGAGGGTAAGACCCAAAGATGCAGACAGGTTCCCACTCACATCAACTCCAGTCAAGTGGGAGCAGCTGCCTGCGGTGCGGACGGAAGGAGAGGCTGCCCGCCTCGCTCAGCGGGGAGGAAAGCGGCAATCAGCGCCCCTCCGCCTGTCGGTCTCTCACTGTGGCTGGGATCTGACCCCCAAGCCCCCGTGCTTCCCCACTGGTGGCTCTGGGTGCATCCTTTGCCTCTCTGGGCCGTGCTGTAAAATGAATGTGGTGCTGCTTTGGGGCCTACATCAAAGAATTCGTGTGGAAGCAGATAGGAAATCAAGGGAAATCAAGGTCCCTAGTGTCACCTCCTCAGGACAGGACCTGCTGGCCTTGGGCGGACAGCGGTGAATCAGGCTGCGAGGGGCCTCTCCAGGGGGGACTAGGGCCACGCGCTCTCTCGGGGCCACAGCGATTGCTCACACTCTAGACCCGCGTGCTTTGTGCCTGTATTCTTCCCTGCCTGGCCAGTGACGTTAAAAATAAAAGAGAAAAGGATAAATAAAACATGTATAAGTTGCAAAAGAAAAGTGATTGAAGGATTGCCTAATCTTTTAGAGTATTTATGCTGGTGACAGTTATTGATCTATCGGATTTAGTAAATTTTGCAGCCTAGAGATCCATCACAAAAATGGGCTGTTAATCTCAGGAGGTGCCGTTAATTTCGTACCCGAGAGTGTGCCTTGTGGGGAAAGGAGGGCCTCTGGAGACAGGAATATAAATGACGAGCCACGTGGAAACGCGTGATTTATCAAACTGCTGAGTTAAGCCAAGTGACTGTAAGAGACTTATAGATCTCAGCTGTTTCCCCGTTCAAATAAATCCTGTATTTCAAATGGAAAATGGCCATTCCTGTAAGATAAATAATCTTTCCGTAAATATTGGAAAACATATTTCTTTTTTGTGAGCAGCACCCTCTCCACCGCCCCGACCCCATCCCCTTTCCTGCCGTCTCCTTTACCCTGTCATTGTGAACTGGGAATAGAAAGATAATCTGCCACCTTCTTCAGGTGACTTAAGCTATCCCCGAAAACACCCTGCGGGCCCCTCAGAAACAGCCGAGTTCAGGTGAGCAGTGGCTGTCGTCATTCCCCGAGATGGGGCTTTGTGTGTGTTGAGCCAGAGCGACTTGGTGTGAGAGGGAGAGGCCGCCTCCGGCTCTGTCCTCAGGCTCTCACGCTCCTCGTGGGGGCTGGCTGCTGCCTGGCTGCTGTCTCCTGGGATCCGAGGGCCTCCTGACTGTGACATGGGACCAGCCTTCGGCAGCAGCCTGAAAGGCGGCTTCTGGGGGGCGGGGATGCTCAGGGAGAGGTGCACCTACAGGCAGCCTCTGGCTCCCTCCACTCCTTTCAGCCAGAGCAGGCCCCAGGGCCCCTTCCTGGGACCCCAGCTGGTGAAGCTGAGCTGAAGCCTTTTAGGTCCTTCAGTGACATCGTCAGTTCGCCTTTGCAGGAAAAGGGTTCTTCTGGCTTCTAGTGATTCTGACGCATTGGGAAGTCAGCGACAGGGCTTCTGTTTCCACGGGTGCAGAGTTCTTTGCCTGGGTTCAGGGAGGCGGGGGACGCCCGCTGGGGGGAAGAGGGGATGGAGATTTTGGTGTGCACCTACTGTGTGCCATGTTCTGTGGTGAGGCCGTGACTGCCTTGTACCACACCGATCCCCCGGGGCAGCCCCATATGTTTCGTTGCCCACACCAGCTGGGTGTCTGAGGATTCAACTCCATCTGATAGCGTCAGACCCCCAGGCTAAGGCCTCAGTCCCACAGGGCGGCCCTCCACTTCCGCTCCAGTCTCGAGTCCCGGTTGTCAGCTGCACTTCTGACTGTCAAGCTGTAAATCGAGGTTCCCAGGACCCCTTCTTGGGTTTGATTAATTAGCTAGAGCTGCCCACAAAATTCAGAGAAACGTTTTACTCACTGGTTACCAGTTTATTATAAAGTAGAGCTGCCCACAAAATTCAGAGAAACGTTTTACTCATTGGTTACCAGTTTATTATAAAGGATATAACTCGGGAATAGCTAATTACCATGTTTCTCTTTTATTAGTGTAGATAACTCGGGAATAGACAGATGGAAGAGAAGCGGAGGACAGGGATGGGGAAGGGTGCAAAGCTTCCACACTCTCCGAGCACAACACACCTCACACCTCCATGTGCTCACCATCCCAGACACTCGCCAACACGGTCCTTTTGGGTTTTTATGGAGGTTTCATTACAGAGGGACGGGTGATTAAATCACTGGCCATTGGTCATTGGCCATTGATTCAGCCTCCAGCCCCTTTCTGCTCCCCAGAAATCAGGGTGGGACTTCGAGTTGCAACCCTCTAAGCATGCTTGGTTCCCCTGGCAACCAGCCCCCATCCTCAGGGGATTCCTGAAAGTCACTTTATTAACATAGATTCAGGAGTTGTTGGAAGGGGCTGGTTCTGAATATCAAGACACCTTTATCCCTCTTGTCACTTAGAAAATGCTAAGGGTTTTAGAAAGAGCTCTGTGCCAGAAATGGGGGCGAAGACCAAATATATATTTATTATAAATCACAGGATCACAGGCATCTCAGAATCTCGATATAGAAGGTGAGGAGGTGGTGGGGGCAGGCCCCAGGGTGTTTGCTGGGCTCTCAGCTCGTTCAGAGCACAGCAGGGCCCTCGGGTCACAGGAGGTGAGGGGTGGAGCTGATGCTGCAGCCAGGCTGCCCCCCACCCCGCAGCACCCCCCTTTCTCCATCAGCACTGGGAGGCTCCCACTGACCTAGCAGCCCGCCTCAGCCCTGTGGAGGTGCTCGGCTAACCTTGACTTCTAACCAGATACACTTCCCCTTTCCTGCTTCAGGCTCCCCGAGAGAGCACGGGGGTGAGTGTGGCCCCCGACGTGACAGTGCCGACTGCCCCCGCGGTGAAGACCCACGACAAACCCACTGAGGTGCCTTCGCCGCAGTGCGCGGCCATCAACACCCAGGTCCCCGAAGTGCAGGACGGGCCACCCAGCCCCGTGAGCGAGGCCTCCAGCGGGTACTTCTCTCACAGTGTCTCCACCGCTACGCTGTCAGAGGCCTTCGCCCCTGGCATGGATGCTGCAGCCCAGGCGGGTGGGCAGACGCCCGGCTCACCCCCTCTTGTCCCAGGCCGGGCCGGCCCGGAGACCGAGCCCCTGTTTCCGAGTGCTGCTCCCGGAGCTGACAGCGCCCTCCCTGCCTCTCCGGAGGGACAGACCCGCCTTCTGTCACTACCTGTCTCAGCAGCGCAGACTCCACGGAGTGACGGCGACAGTGGGGCCCCGGCCCAGGGAGCAGCGTCCTCAGAGCAGCAGCATAAAGAAGCAGGCACTTCGCCAGCTCCTCTGCCCCCTCCCGCCCCCCAGGAGTCTCCCAGCCCGCAGAGCGGGGGCGATGGTTCCCCCGCCACCAAGCCGCTAGGAGGACCCAAGGACCAGGCCCGGCCAGCCACCAGCGCAGAGCCGGGGGTCTCCAAACCACAGCTGGCGCCTGACCTCCTGTCCCAGTCACCTGCCCCAGCCTCCCCGTTCAGAATCCGCAAGGTGCGGACCTCGGAGCTGAAGTCCTTCACCCAGGAGGGCCTGGCGATGGCAGCTCTGGAGGTCAGACCCTGGAGAAGCTGGAAGTGTCCTCCGATTCTGAGGAAGCCAGTGAAGTCCCAGAGTGGCTCCGCGAGGGAGAATATGTCATCGTGGGCGCCAACAAAGGGGGCGTCGTGAGATACATCGGGCCCACCGACTTCCAGGAGGGGACGTGGGTCGGAGTGGAGCTCGACTTACCCTCAGGTGAGTGCTGCTTGTCAGGGCGTCCCCGAG